TCTGACTCGCAGCGTAGGAACAAATTTTGAGCTGTTTTCGAACATATATTTGGCAGACCGCCCGGCGGCAAACATCCGAATGAGGTTGGGGCTGTGGTCTGCAGAAGGCGGCACCCTGCCATTTACCCTTCTGAGATGATCGGAGATGTACCAATCGACTACGGACTCTTCTGGCTGTGTGGGACCTCGCCAAGTGTAACAACCGTAGGCAATGTAGCAACGCCACTTGGATTATTCCAAGATATGCAAGGTGGATCTTGAAGGGAGAATCGGTGGGGAACCACAACAATACTACCGAGGGAGAATAAGGTGGGCCGAATGACAGAACCAGGAGATCACCGATGAACGAAAGAGAAATGACCCCAACTGCAGTTGCAACCCAGAAGGCTGGTAGTCCGGAGTCAAACCAGACTTCCCGTCGATCGACTACTCCGCCCAGCACGGCGCCGGCGCAGGACCGTCTGCTACCGGGTCTCATTCCGTCGCTGCGTGAGAAGTTCTCTGCAAGGATTTGGAAGGATGTGATGGGCAGAAGCCAAGAAAAAGAAAGAAGAAAACACGAAACATCATCTCGACACGGCCCGAACCCCTCCCGGAGATACGCAGAATCCGCCACCGAAGTACCGTCCGCCACTGGATCCTATTCTATCGATAAGGTACCTCGGAAGGTGGGACACTAAATCGGGATCCTCGTCCTTGGACAATCCGTCGCGCGAAGGGGTGCGTTCGTAGATCTGGTGAACTGTGATGTTGAGGAAGAATAGACAATGTAGTTGAGCGCGAGTATGCGCTGCGCATCGAGCGCTGGCGGAACACGCGCAAGATTCAGTGCTGCGGTCAGTGACCGCGTCGGATGCAGTCATCTCCGTTAGTTGTCGGATGGTCGCTCTGATTTATAAATTGGACTGGAAAAGTGAAAAGGTGCCCCGGAATATAAATATCGGGTCGAGAAAGCTCTGCTCGGTTGGTGTCCCTCATCTGAGGAAATTGAACCAATGGCCTAGACTCGGTCGGCAGCCCAAACACAGACAGGCCAGATTCGGCTGGAAACCAAACATGCAAGGAGGGCGTAAACATTGATGGTGTGATCATGATCTCTCTGTACCACCGCCTTGAAATTCGAGTCTCTCATCACAAGAACGTCGCAACCTTTCTGATACATACCTACCTACCTAACTGATCTCCGTTAGCCATCGGCTCGGACTAGCTTCGACTGCGATCCGCAGTTAAGGCTATGTTTCAAGATCGGCAGCTGCAGAAGCCTATAAGAGCTCATTCTAACCTCGTATCAAGACATTGCTTCTTTCTTCTTTCCTCCAAATGTTCAACCAACTTCACAATCCTCTGGGTCGAATGGTTCTCCTCCCACTTTCTTTTTCGCTTCTCGGAATGGCCAGTACCGCTGCTGCTGCGGCTATCCCATACCCGGAAACCACGCAACGCCAGAACCAGACGATTTGCTGGGTCGATTGCCACGAGAACGTGCCTCAGCCGATCGAATCTGCGTTGAATGTCACTGGCACTAGCTTTCCCGGATCTCTTCCATCGACGCTGTTCTGCGGTGAAATGGACGTGCCAATGGACTACACAAAACCGTTCGACGCGGCCACCAACAATATCACGATCGGTTTTGCGATGAACCGCCCTACCAGCTCCTCGGGTCTAATTATCTAGTGCGTCTATTTTCTTTGTTCGTCGCTGTCCCGGCTGATATCTCTCTAGCCATGCGGGTATGCCACGACCCCGCAATATCGTGTAATTTTGATATTGACATCAATGCAGGCGGCCCAGGACTCGATACGGTATCCCAGGCATGGGCGAACGCACTCAATATCTCCTCTGGTCAGCCCTTCGTGGGCCTAGAAGATTTCGATTTCCTCGGTACGTCCGTCAATTTGTCTTTCGCCGCTCCATCTGAATCCCTGCCTCTCAGCGGTGAACACGCGTGGGATCCAGTTCTCCAACCCGCTTAACTGTTCCTCGGGAGTTTTCTTCAACAACGTTTCTTTCGCTTTGTGGGTTATTCCGTGTTACCCACAACCGGTTGCTTACGATTTTTGCAGCCCCACTTCACAGGACGAATACGACCAGTATCAGGCTGCCATGAGCAACTTCTACGCGGCGTGCACGAACAACAGTACCCCGGCCGGAATCATGGCACACATCGGGACGGTCGAGGTTATCCAGGACTGGGACTCGGTCCGCGCCGCGCTGGAATACGAGAAGGTCAGCTTTGCGGGTGTTTCTTAGTAAGTTCTGCTTTCCACGATTCTAGATTCTCCACTTAGCTTTCATAAGCGGAACATTCGTGGGCATGGCCTACGCCGGTCGCTTCCCGGCGCGTGTCGACCGCTTTGTCCTGGATGCGGTCATTCCGCATGGGATGGTCTGTCGTGTTTCTTCATTAGAATAGCTGACACGGACTTACCATACTACAGCCGTTTCAGGATATGATTACAGACCAAGTAGCGGCAGCGAACCGTCTCCTTCTCCGAGCGGACGCCTTCTGTCTCACGGATCCCACATGTCCCTTCCATGGTCAGGGTAACGGCAGTGTCGTCAAGGTATATATATCCGTGCCCTCTTTACGTATCATAAATGCCTGATCCAGCATTCTATTGCAGGCATGGGACACTCTCCTTGCCAAGGCCATCGCCGCCCCGCTGCCAGCGCTCAGTTGCGGCCACGGCACCGGGTGTAACTCCCCCGTCACGCCGACGGACCTGCGTCTCGGAGTCAGCGTCCTCTTCCGCTCGAATCCCGACTTTCCGAATTCAACATCGCACTGAACGCGTCGCTCCACGGTGACGCCAGCCTCTTTGCGTACGAGCCGGCTGGTGACATCCGCGAAACCGTCGTCTCATCCCTCTTATGCTCGGACTTCAGTACGCTTTCTCCGCATCCATCGACTCCGTTGTGCATTTATTTATACCCCTGTCCAGAGCTCGACGAGTCTGAAAAGTCGTTCGCGGGGTTCAACAATCTCAGCATCAATTCACAGAGCGTGAGTTGCTACGCAGACGATGCTCTCCGTCTAATCACTTTACCTCACACCCCAGAGCGACCCCGCAGGAATCGTCTACTCGCAAATCTGGCAGTTCGCGCTCATGTGTGCCGCCTGGCCGTTCCCCGTCCCTGAGCGCACCACGCTGCCCAGCGACCTCCCGCTCATGTGGATGACGTCGGACTTCGACCTAAAGGACGCATCCCACCCTTTCCCTTCTTCATCCAGCGCTGTACTAATTTCTGTGTACACAGCCTGCCGACGGAGCTGACGACCTTCGCATGGGAGCAAGCGCCGAACTCGACACTCGTAATCCGGCACGGCGACGACCACACCTCGATTCTGAGTGCGTCATTCCCTCGCTCGCTCTTATGATTTCCTGCGCGCTGACCGCCATTTCACGCGATTCAGTTGGCCCACCCGCCGCCGCTGCGCAGAGCGTTGCGCAGGACTTTCTGCGCACGGGCGTGATGCCGCTCGCGTCGGCGGACAAGGCTGTCACGGTGATTTCGCCCGGTGGCACTCGGGGGCCTGTTCCCGGTGCATACGACGTACCGACGGGCGCGAGTGCGGGGGATAGTAGCTCGGTACCGGTGGAGGCGAAGCTCGGTGGAGCTGATCAGGTAATGCGGAGCCGGGGTATTTTATTCGTAGGTGTCCTAGTAAATATTTTAACGTACACGCTCTCGTAGCTGTGACCCGTTGTGGATCTTACCAGAAGTCTTCCCCCCCCACCTTGAGGTCGTTGAAGATCGTTTCCTGCGGATAAACCAGACGATTCGGAATCATTCTGGACATCCCCAGTCAGATTCTCGTCGATTTCCTGATCTCAACGTGCTTGATGGGTTACAGGAGCCTACGTCTCACGAAATTCCCACATACAGAAAAAGAATGTGGATGGGCAGTGCATTCATCTCGCCCCATCACTGTGGACTCGGTACTTTTTCCACACATCCACACACGGGTTCGGCATGTCTCGAGTGATGAGATGCTGGAGGAGGGCGAATCGGCGGCGAGGAACTCCGCCATTGGGAGGAGGGCGCAGGTCGTGTGTTCGCGTGTCTGCGGTGAAGCTGTTTGCGTTCGCGGTTCTATCGGACAATAATGAGCGAGCGCTTCAGATGGGGTGCGTATCAATCGCTTGCATCCGAGCACCGGTGCGACCAAGTAAGTAAGGTCCTCCGGGGCGAGAGGGCCACGATGGCGCGTGGGAGGTGCAGCGTTCGTCTGAGCGATGACCTCCAGGATTATTAGCAATGCGGTAGCTGAGGATGAGGAGGGGGCGCGCGTCTAAACACCAACATGACTTGGCGCCGGAGACGGCGGGGAGAGCATCAAGGGATTGAATAGACATCAAGTAGTGAGCGAGTGGAAGGCTACAGCAGAAACACAGCAAGGAAGACCGGTCGCGGGATTAGAACGAAATCGAGAAGACTGGAGCACAAAAGAATGGAGGGCAGAAGCGACGCGGCGTTTGGGCGCTGTGTGGATGAGTATCGGTGAGCGTGCCGGGAGAATCGAGATTCGGAGGTTGAGCTGGGAGAAAGAGGAGAAACTGAAGCGGCGGTAATACGGCAAAAATTGTTGCCAGATTCCGGTAGATGCAGTAGATAAGGCAGTGGCAAGAGACAGAGGGATATGTGCGCGTGTTATAATTAGGATCGGATCCTTCACTGATCGCCCATCAATTCGGGCGCGGCGCCATGGTGCCGATCTTGCCGCGGCCCAATTGCTCGCGGAACATTCACGCAGACGAGCATATTGGCTTTTGCTTCGGCCAGGGCACGTTCAGGGCACCTCAGCCAGTTTCCTTCCTGCTTCCCCTCCACTCCCTCCCCCCACACACAAAACAACCCAACCAAGGCACCACCTCGAGCAAAGGAAAATGACGAAGACTGGCACTGTCAGCGGCTCATTCTAATTCACGCTCTCGAGTCTTAGGGTTACGTGCCGCGAAAGGGGTGCATAAAACGGAGTTACTACCTACACACAGTATGTCCGCGTCGATTAGTGGTTAAATCACCTCGTTGTGGCTTTAAATCGCCATAAGTTGCCATGCAACTCATGAGATAATGAGACAAATGCTCCCGAGGAGCCGGGTGTTCGATCCACCCCGCGGACAGCCTTTTTGCGTCTTCCAGCTTCGAGTTTTGCCCTGCGACTGGTGCTAGGGCGTTCAGAGCGGGGAGTCAAAACGGGATTGCCCTAATATTTATATTTAGTCTTAGAGGTCGCGTTCCGTACGCCACGTCTGATAATTTCCCTCTCCCCTCCTTGTCCCCTTAATATCCCATTCAACGCGGAGCAATCGCCCGAAGAAATGCATTCGAGCGCAAAAAAATGTTTACTGGGGAGGAGCATTCAGACACCGGGAATCGAACCGGGGGCTGCCTCCAACTTTGAGCGTACAATTACACAAGTCAAAGGCCTGTGTTCCTACACTACGTCTGAGTCCCTATATTTCTTCCTCTCCGGCTCAAATACCCCAAACCAAAGAAAGTCGAGAACAAAGAAAGGTATCAACACATGTTGCCATTGCAGACACCGAACTGGAACTGCCTCCTAACTTTCATGTCTTACTTCATAAGTTCTAGAGGCCGTGTTCCCTGCACCACATCCGAGTTCCTTTCCTCTCCATGCTCTGCTTAAATACTCAAACCAACGAAGTCGAGAACAAAAAGAAATCTGCGGATTCCCCATTCAGACGCCCGGAGTTGAACCCGGGAATTTCCTCCTGCCTTCTTGACCTTTCACAAGGCCGTGTTCCACACAGTCCTTCTCCTCTCCCGTCCCTCAATATAAATCAACACAAGCAACCACTGAAAGGAAGCCAAAGACGGGTTTTGCTCCCCACTCAGACGCCGGGGTTCGAACCCGGGACTACCTCCTAAATGCTATTTCGATGCTACGGAAGATGCAAAGGCCGTGTTTCCGCTATACCACGCCTGAGTTGACTTGGGAGGTGCGGGGCAGGATTAGTACAGTACATACTAGTGTGCAGATGGCACAAGGCCTTGCGAGCCGCGAAACGCCGCCATGACAACCGGAAGCTCAAGAACAGCCGAACGCAAAACTAAGGCAGTGACACCGATCGCGACCAATTGGAAGCAAGAAGCGAGTAAGGAAGCAAGCAAGGAGGTAAGCAAGCAGTATAATATAAACTGCGGAGACCCGGCTTGCGATATGTAGATGAGACCGTGAATCGCGAGGGGCAGGCGGGAATGTACAAGGCGGGGTAGGCAGAAGGGAGGAGGGAGGGCGGGGATAGGGAGGGGAGAGAATGTACAGCACACACCGGAATCCAAAGCATGCCTCGACATCGTACGCGCGAGCGGGCGCTCGTAAATGCCAACGCAGGGATCGTGGCCCACGCTCATCGGTGCCGGCGCCCGCCCGGCACTGGGAGCTCGCCCGCCGCGCGCCAGGCGTACCTCGCCACGGAGCTGCGCGCAGCGCAGGCAGCTCGAGAGCGGGGGGATGGACGTGAGCGCGCACGAAGGCGCGCATCCGCGAGCTGGAGGAGCGCCAGCAGAGCGCGTGGGCGCTCGGGCTTGAGTAGCGGGGCGTGCGCGGAGGAGCGGGGTGGAATGGCGTGCGGCGTGGAGCGGGGCGCCAGCGCGGGTTCGCGGTTTCGCGGGGTTTTGGACACTGACAGGCGGCGCCGGGGGATATCGATGTTGCTGAATATACGATGGCGCGGCGCGGAGGAGGGCGGGTAGCGGAACTGTATCGCGCTTCGCTGCGTGGAGCTGTGGCTACGACTGGGGGGGGGGGGGGCTGGGGGGGGGGGGGTTTCTCGGGGCAGGGGCGGGGATGGGGATGGGCGACCATGGGCGGCCCGGCAGTGGCGTCGCGGCCGCGCGCCCAGCTGACGAAGAGCCTGCGCACGAAGAAGAGGGAGAAGGGGCCGAGGACGACGGCGATGGAGACGCCCACGATGAGCCCCACAGGCGGAGAGGCTGACGGTGCACGGCTCTGAGGGGCGCGGCGGCGGCGGCGGCCAGAGGGCCATTGTGGCGGTGCGGGCGTCGTCAACAACAGCGGCGAGAAGGCTCATCACCCTTCTATCCTGACAGGCGTTCAATCATGCGGAATTCGAGAGGAAGAGCGGGTATGAAGGTGCGGACGACAGACGACGCCATAGCAGTGAGGAAGTCGCGCAAAGATGAAGAAACGGGATCCATCTAGCGATTGTAGGAAGTGAATTGGAGGTAGATTGCCATCGATGAGGGTGAATAGATGGAAAGAAATGGTTGGTTAACAGAGTGGTACTTCGGGGAGTCAGGTGGATGGATTATCGCTGCAGCGAGCTTGGATGTTGTGACGATGGAGGCAAATGGATTTGATCGCATGTACCGAGTGATGGCATCACTCGAATGAATTTTCGCCAATCTTCGCGGCTCTCGCTAGCGCCTTTCGCTGGTTCCGAATAATCATTCGATTCCCGACCTGAAGACATGCGCAATTCCCCCCAAATCCACCAGTCTCTGAATAAAAATGTAACTGAACAGTGAATCAAATGGGTTAAGGGCACCACCACAAAGGATCCAACTCGCAGGCGAGAAAAAAGCCAACGAAGACGACCTCGCATGACCCAGGCTGGAATCGAACCAGGACCTCCCGCCGATAGATGCAGGCCGTCGAAGACGGTGCGAGCGCGGGCCTTCCGCTACTAGGTCTCATTCCTACGGTGCTGATCCTCGTTGGGTGGGCTCCAGGATAATCAGCGGTGAACAAAAAAGACCAAAACCTTTCGCATGCATGACACAACCTGGAATCGAACCAGAATCCTCCGCCAGGAATCGAGCTCGCTGTGCTAAACGCCTTCCGCTACTAAGTCTCATTTCTGCTGTGCTGAACCTCGCTGATGGGTGAGTGAGAGTCGGCTCGCTGGAACCAACAAGTATTGACAGCCAAAAAAATTATAAGTCGCCGCCAGTCAAATATGACCCAGCCTTGAGTCGAACCTGGCCTCCCGCTCCGACCTCATTGCAGTTCTACATGACGCGGGCGCAAACCGTCCGCCACTGGGTCTCCTTCCTCTCCTCCGGACCCACGTCAGATGGGATGAGGTCGCACGGGACGCGGCGTTCCATCATCATGGCGTTTTCGTTCCCATGGCCACTCTATTGATATGTCGAACCTCCACAGATACTGTAAGTAGAGAGGTATTCAATTGGTTTGCGTTTCGAGTTGGGCTGCGTGAGCGTTGTGAAGACATGAGCACTGAGCGATGTGAAGAAAATAATGGTACGGCGATGAGGAAAAAGGACGGCGTCCGTGGTGTATGACCCAGCCTGGAGTCGAACCAGGGCCTCCCGCTGATGCGACTGGACGTGCATACGCGGTGCGGGCGCGAACTATCCGCCACTGGGTCTTCTCTCCCCTGCGTTGAACCTCATCGAGTTAGCGGTGGACAAAAACGGGACCGAGAAAAAAGGATGATGGACCATGATGCATGACCCAGCCTGGGGTTGCACCAGGGCGTCCCACTGTTCCATACCACGTCTTTAGAGTGCGGACAAGAACCATCCGCTACTGGGTCTCATCCCTGTCGCCTAATGGGCTACGGGATGACCAGCGATGGACGAAAGCGATGGAAAAAATCGGTTCTGCCGCAGACTATGACCCAGCCTGGAGTCGAACCAGTGTGTCCCGCCCGTAGAAAAGAGCACCTTACACTGGGCGAGCGTGAAGCTTCCGCTACTGGGTCTCATTCCCCTACTCCGGAACGTCTCCAAGCAGGTCACGGGATAAGCAGCGATGAACGCAAATGAACGAGGGAGAAAAGGAAACTCCGCCTAAAGCTTTTATGACCCAGTCTGGAATCAAACCAGGACTTCCCACTTATGAACATGACTATTCCCCGATGCGCCGCGGGCGCGAGCCATCCGCTACTGGGTCTCTTTTCCGTAGTTCGGAATGTCTCCGAGTGAGCTACACGATGATCTTCGATGTATGAGAGCGAGTGAAACAATCGGCTCAACGGATCTCCCGCAGATGCTGGGCCTTCCGCCACCGGGTCTTCTCTTTCCTGTGTTGAACCTCGTTAGGTGGGTGATCGAGAGTCAGCTCGCGGGAACCAATTGCAACAAGCCTGACAGCCGGAAAAGTCGCCGCGACTCCAATCAATCATGACCCAGCCTGGAGTAGAACGAGGAACTCCCGCTGCGATGCATTTAAACTTATCGTTCATACAGTACGGGCGCGGACCTTCCGATACTGGGTCTCGTTCCTTTCTGTATGACCCCGGTAGGTACGTCAGTGCGGCAGAATACAAAAGAAACGAACTTTTAAAAAGATCTTATCCAGACTACAAGATATGACCCCGCCTGGAGTCGAACCAGGCCTCCCGCTGGGCACACTCTTCTGCTTATCGACACGGCGCGGTCACGTCCGCTACTGGGTATTCTCTCTCCTGTGTTAAACCTCGTTAGATGGGTGAGTCCCAGAGAAATGTGCACTCGAGATAAAAAGGACGCTATGAACAAGACATGACCCAGCCTGGAATCGAACCAGGGCCACCCGCTGGCTTCTTGCACACTCCTTTCATATACGGTGCGGGCGCGAACCTTCCGCTACTGGGTCTTCTCTCTCCTGTGTTGAACCTCTTCAAGCGGGTCGGGGATAATCAGCGATGCAGAAAAATACGGAGGAGACCAAAAACTCCTAGCCTCAAAAATGACCCAGTCTGGAGTTGAACCAGGGCCTCCCGCTGGCTATTGCATACCTATCTCACAGAGTGGGCGCGAACCATCCGCTACTAAGTCTTCTCTCTCCTGTGATGAACGTCGTTAGATCTGCAAGGTGCGGAAGCATCAGCGATGGACGCAAAAGGAACGGGGGAGAAAAGGATCCTGTAGGACGAGCCCATGACCCAGCTTGGAATCGAACCAGGGTTCCCGCTGCTACAGAATAACGTGTTATACGTACACGGCGCGGGCGCGGCCTTCCGCTACTGGGTCTTCTCTCTCCTGTGCTAACCCTCGTTAGATGGGCGAATGAGAGTGAGAGTCAGCTCGTGGGAACCAACAAACATTGACAGCCAAAAAAACCGCTGCGACTCGAATATGACCCAGCCTGGAGTCGAACCAGGGCGTCCCGCTGCTACATATATGGTTTCCAGCTCACATTGTGCTGGGGGGGCGGCCGTGCGCTACTGGGTCTCGTTCCCCTAGTTCGGAACCTCTTCAAGCAGGTTATGGGATAATTAGCGATGAACAAAACATGAACAAGATGACACATCATGGCCCCGACTGGAATTGAACCAGGACCTCCGGCTGGCTTATTGCACACTGCTGTCGTACGGTGCGGGCGCAAACCATTCGCTACTGACTCTTCTCTCTCCCCTCAGTGCGTTGACCCTCTCCAAGTGGGGCTAAGTGCCGACGTAGAACGAAAAAGAATATAAGAAGTGGTCATGGCCCAGCCTGGAGTCGAACCAGAACCCCACTGCTATTGGATCAAAGAAACAATATGGTTTGGGGGGCGAAACGTTCGCCACTGGGCCTCACCCCAGACCAAATGAAGTCCAGAGCCAAAAGAAGACGATACATGCGCCATTCAGATACCGGGAGTCGAACTTGATTCCATGCATATCGTGTCCGTTGCAGGACAGAGGCCGTGTTCCATTTCACCATGTCTGATTCCCTCCTCGTCTCATGTTCTTGTTAAATATGCAAAGAAGTTGAGAACACAAAAAAACTCATTAATGACCACCCATTCAGGGACTCAAACCCGGGACTGCCTCCTAATCAGCCTACCATTCCAGTTTATAAGGCCGTGTTCCACTACACCATGTCTAAGTCCTTAAACCTCTTCTTCTCCAGCTTAAATACCCTCCCAACGCCTCACCGAAGACAAAAGACAATCAACACATGTGCCATTCAGACGCGGGGATTTGAACCCGGGGCTGCCTCCACATAACTGCTCCTGCTTAAAGTTTGAAGTTTGAGGGCCGCTACATCACGTCTCATTCCCTATCTCTCTTCCTCGCCGGCTTAGATACCCACCAGCGACCCCTCAAAAGAAATGGCCATGAGTCGAGAGAGAGAAAAACATTTGGCTAGCCCCTCACTCAGATGCCGGAAGTCGAACCCGGAACTGCCTCCGACTTTCATCTCTACATTCACAGAGCAGCGACAGAGGAGCACATGCATAGCATTCGGGCCAAGTCGAATGGTCATCCAACCCAAATTTAGACTGCAAGTGGAGTAGATACAGCCGTGGTCCCGTTAGAATATTTTTTGCATGCGTAGAAATCCGCCTATTGTCCGCCGATTTCCTCGGTTTTACAAGACGTATGAACTGTCATCGAAGAATCGAAGAGAGCTTCGAGAATCCCTACGTTGTCGCGAGTATTTAGTTGATTATATCAGCAGAGCGGCGGCAGAGAGCCACCTGCAGAGTATCCAGGGCTATCCAGGGAGTAGACTGATTAGAGCTTCAAATCATGTAACACGCATTTCAGAAGTGAAGCACTATAGGGTGGATTGGATTTCGCGCCGGGGCAAATGGTATACGCATATTGATGGTTTGGTTCAGGGCGATGTTGAACATTCAAGGACGTAGAGGGAGGACGTGACATAGTCGAGCTCTGGGAGCGCCCAGTAACGGGGTTCGTCGACAGAACGGGATGGTTGTGGCCAGAGGCAAAAGGCGACCGCCGGATCCCCGATCAATGATGTTATCGCTCGGATCATGATTATGACGGGCGTTATTGGACAAAACCCCGATGACCATCAATGTCCATTGATGGTCATTGATTTCGTCGATGAGCATCGATGGCCATGCATGTCCACTGTGTGCACATTCATTTCATTCAGTGGCCATCTATGGACACCTATGCTGGGGACTGCATAATTTTTCAGCAGTGTCAGTATTTCGGCTGCCTCCGTAGGTGTTCAACATTAATGGCACACCGCCGCTGTCTTTATGTCGCGTCCACCCAATTCAGTACCTCTTGCATGAATTTACTCAAATTTGCACCCAAATTCTTGATCTTTCCGGAAGGTCTTGCTGGAGGGAGTCAGATGGATAGACCCTTGTTACATTTTTGAAACACGTAGCAGAGCTCCAGCCACTCTCAAATTTTCATGGTTCCTGCTTTGTTGAATCCTGGAGGTATTTCATTTGTGATGTCTGCCGTATGATCAGGGCCAGGAGAGAGAGCAAGATAACAAATGATTTGAGAAGAGTAGACCACCAGTAGTGATCAATCCGCTATACAGAGGTAGGTTAGGCATGAAAATAAATTTGACAAATATCGGGGTAATTGCGAGGCATTGGGCATTGATGTTGGGTGTGAAACATCCATTGGGGACTGGTGTCACATTGATGTTGAGAATGGATGGGGCATCAATGTTGGGTGATAGAGTCTGATAGAAGCAGTCAGCATCAATGGTACATTAGAATTGGCCAGTTCGAGCACTCTTGGAGGCTCATCCTTTAATTCAGGAACATTCGTGGCCACTGACTCGGCATCCATGAGCATTGATGACCATCCAGTGTCATCGATGTTCACTGATGTTCATCAATGCCCACAGGGGTTTTGTCCAGTATCAGCGGTTATACATGATCCCTGTTGCCCGGTTGTTTCGGAGCCCTCGCTAGCTTGCCAACATTTTGGCTGTGGGAGGTGTATCGATGTACGCCGAGGGGCATTAATGGAGTAATGCCGAAATTGGGTTGCTGTACTCATTGACACCAGGCACATGTTTCGGGAAGCAGCACAGAAACGGCACAATGTTATTCAAGTGGAGAAAGTGTGGAGAAGCAGCTTAAGTACGGAGTGCTACAGAGGTGATAATTTCATCGCCTCCGACAGTTCAGAAGTCGGAAGGTGGCACGAATCTCCACTTCTGCTCCGGTGATCCATTCTGCCCGTCGACTTTGACCTAAGATCATCCGAGTCATTGGGTCAGCGCAGATCGAATTGAAGATGGGGCATGTATGAGCTTACGGAAGAGCGTACATCGCTAGGGTTGGCCACGGTCCAAATCTTGTCCTCGTTCGGCACGCGGACCTTCGGGATCGGAATCAGTTCTCAAGTCAACCGAAGGGGGAAAGTGCGTACCACGAAAACACCGTCCCCTGCGGGTTCGATGCTGAAGGAATCACGAGCGCCGCCGGGGTTGCCAGATATAACGAGGCTCTGAGGGTTGGTTAGTAAGATATTGTTCAAGAATAAAAGTAGCGTACATCATTGCCGACGAAGGTTGGGGTCTGGAGGCCGACATTGAAGATCCTATACTCATTTGAACCATCCGCCGCGGGCGTGACCTGCCACTGTGCGAAATCAGCCGTGTATCTTATAGGACAACGGAGGAGCATACCAGCCCAAAATCCCCAGGGAACTCTCTAGTATAGCTAACGAATATGGGATCGTTCTGTTGGTAGTCGCGAAGGACGGTGTTGGTGGCGTCGTTGATGACGCTGTAGATGCCTGGCTTGATTACACCGAGAGTGTTAACCTCGGTGGCACCAACGGACTGGAAGAGCAGTTCAGCGAGATGCTACGTGAGTTTGAACGTTTCCAACCGTGCCAAGATTGACGCTGCGCGACGCCACGGGAACCTGGAACGACGGTGCAGCACGGACGAGGGTCAGAGCAGCAAGGCCAAAGGCAAGAATCTTGGAGAACATCGGTGAAGATGAGGATAGGCTGAGAGATACTGGTTGTGCGTTCCAATGTAAAGAGCACAAGGAACAGCGAGCCTGCCTGGTGGTGGCCTTTATATGCAGACTGTTCGGAAGCTATGAGCATCATGGTCGACAAAAATCGCGATGCGAACGGCGATTTCGTGAAGGGATCGATTCTAGGTAGGGCTTCAACCCGTCCCCGTTCATGACGGGTTAACGAGCGGGACGGACGGGTTTCGACCCGTCCGTCCTGAGCTCGATCCCTGGATCTAGACGGGACGGGTTGACCCGTCGACGGGGTACCCGTCCCCGCCCGTTTGACGGGTTGTACGGGTCTCCCCGGAATCGACGCAAGTTTGGGCAATACCGCTCGGATTTGGTCGAATTTGGGTTGAAATCTATATCATCGATGACAACTCTGCAGCTAACTCACCACTTGGGGCGAAAATCGGGGCGAAAGGCCCCGCTATGGAAAGCCAGAGCACTACGCTGGAGGGATATCCCCAAATGTGCACCTAATGGCGGGCTGTATCTCATTTATTGAATTATCATCCTAATCACTGGCATAGTCCAGTGAACTGCATCATTGCCACCGGTCATTTCCCGTCATCCCATTTAACCAAATGCATTCCCTTCCCGCAAACTAAAGGTGTGTTTTATTTCCTGTTGACTGTGACTTCCTAGACGAAGCAAGTACCTGCCAAATTGCGGGCTGATTTCACCCCGAGGATCAATTTTGCCCCCCAGAGGCAGCATTTTATTCTACTTCCATGATGTGCGGGTTGGAATTCGAGCTCACCTTGCTTCGGTTCATTCCTTGCAGTATGTACCTGGTTGCAAGACATGAGTTCGGTTACGTTAGAACCAGCAAGAAGAGATCATAAGAGACGACCGCGCACCTAGCACAGTGCCGGTCGAGCTGTCCGCGCCGCGCATATCACGGAACA